TTTCATAGGTTAGAAAAAGGAATTGTACCTCATTTTGTTCTGTTGATTTTATGTGTTATTTTTGGTTTAAGGCAGGACTCAATCTTTTGGGGTGCTGAGTGCAGAAGAGCAAAACTGGGTTTGTTAACATAAACTTTCCTTAAACTAATTACAGAATTTAAGTTTGTTCCTGAGAATCTATGTAGGGAGAGATAGCGGGAGAGACTCCGGCTTTCACACATATCTGTGAAATCCTTTTCTCTGTATATCTTTTATTTAGATGGTTTTAAAACCGCAGGAGTTCAGGATGAGGCTCTCCTCTTCGTTTGTTAAACAAAAGAGCAAATGGCCTTTGTTCACAGCAGTAAATTAGGGGAAGTTCTAAGTTTTTCTGAGTGTCCAAGGTAGCTTCCAGTTGGTCAAGCGGAGGTACGCCTTAATTGAATATATTAAAAAGGAAAGACGCACCTACATATAAAAGTTCGTGCACAGGAGCAAAAAGCCAGGTTCCTGCCACTATCTTGCCTTTTTTGCGCCAGCTCTCTCCAAAGACGCGTCTTTGCCTATTTCTTTTCTTTTATCTTTTGTCTCAGGTAATCAATGTATGTTTCTGTTCTGCAGTTTCTGATGTAAGTTTGTGCATTGTCTTACCTCTAAGTTTATGCATTGTCTTATATTGGATTAAATTCTGTAATTCTGTGATGTCAACTCGTATTGTTGTTTTCCTTGTGGCTACACGTGGCCTGCCGAGAGGACCTGGGATCTAAAGGAAGAGAGAGCCAGACTTTTTTCTAAAGTTAACTATTTTAGAATTTCTTCCTTAACATTTGGGGGCTCGTGCCGGTTCTGGAATCTCGGTGGGCGGCTGTTTGGCCCTGATTGATCCGTTTCGGCCCGACGCTTCGGTGTGGTAAGACACTGTTTAATTGTTTTGGTTGTCTGAAGCGCCGTGAGGTCGGACCGGGGCTGGTTGTTCTTGGTGTGTGCGACATCACAGAGTTTGGAAACTGCAGCGGTATATAAAATCCCTCCTAAAAGAGTCTGTAGTTTAAGGATTTGAATAAATACACACAAACGGGGGTTCGTGGCTGTTCCAAGCAGCAGGATTTTGCGCTCCCTCTGCTAAAGCTGGGTTTCTTTTGAATTCTTTGCCCTGAGAGTCGTCCCGTACCTCTTTAAAAGAATTTGGGTCTTTGTGTATTCAGATAGCCTGGGCTTGTATCAGCCGGAGATTACGACTCATCTCCAGTGGACTAATAATTGGACTGGTTTGGGATTTATTGGATAGCAGGTTGAATCACCTTACTCTGTGAGTTAAAGGACTGATAGCAGGTTGAATCACCCTACTCTGTGAGTTAAAGGACTCAATCGGGTTGAATCACCCTACTCTGTGAGTTAAAGGACTGAATCGGGTTGTATCACCTTTACTCTGGCTCTCTGAACCGGGTTGCCGTAAGTACAGCTCTGATACGGGGTGTATCGTCTTCTCTGGGACCCTGGAGTTGCCAAAGAGTATAAAGGACTGAAGCAGGTTGAATCACCTTGAAGGACTGAGAAGTTGAAATGAAAATAAAAGAGATTTGTAAAAGTGAAGTTGGAAGATTAAAAGATGCATCGTACGTTCTTTTAAGCCGGCGCCTGACATTTTCTCTTCTTTTCTGTCTTTTCTTGGCTGAACTACGACGTCGTCTGTGTTTCTGTGTTTTGTACGTTTCTTGGTGTTTGTGTGTGTGCTTGGCTGCGGGTTGATCTATTACTGATTTTGTGTCTGTCTTCCGCCGTTATATGTTTCACCGCGCGCTGCTGTCTGTCTCTGTCTGAGTTGTGTTGAGATTGTGCAGAAGAGATTTGTGTCTTATGTGTTTGTCTGTTTTGCTGGATGTTATGTTGCTGTGTTTCTGTTAACTCCTGCTTCTGTGG